TCCTTTCTGTGACAGCAGAATTACAAGTTTCCTATGATTTTGAATCCGATAGGAGCAGATATTTGTCTTATAAAAGTGAGAATAAAATCTGCACTCTCTCAGTTAACAGCACACAGGATGGAGATGAAAGTACCTACTGCTGTGCCTACTGGGAGTCTCATAGCGGGAGCAGCTTGCAGGCAGCCCTTACAGAAAGCTGGCTGCAGCCTGAGCGGCACACTTTGATACAAGTGCCGAGAAACACAGCTGCCTTCCTGCCCCCATCTCTCAGCCTTCAAGGTGTCCCCACAGGCTTAAGCAGAGGAAGGAATTCCAAGACGAAAGCCAAGACACTTACGTGGCACTGTCTGTGTCGCTATTCTGTGCAGTCTGAATCCATCGTTTCCTCTCCCTACCAGCAGCCGTCCTGCCCCTAATGTTCACTTTTTCAATGCTGGAATGGCGGCACTAAAGGACTTGATGCAAAATGATGGATCTGTCACAAGAAAACTGGCAGTAGGAGTTTACAGAGCATGTCCTGATGTGAGGTCTGTAGTGCATGCTGCAGTCGACAAAGACCTGGAGAAGATCCAGAGCAGATTCACTCTCTTAGTCAGAGATGGGGGAACATAACTCTGGAAAGAACATGCAGTGGTAGGGGTGCTGTTTGTGGAGACAAACAACATCCAGGGTTGGTGCAGATGGCTGAGGAGGCCCATGGAGTTGTTCCAGGCATGAGGAAGTCAGGAGTTCACCATCAACTAGTCAATTTGTGCTACAAAAGCAGGCAGCACTTTCTAGGCAGGGCTGATGAAAGATGCTTCTTGGACAGACCTGGGGGTCTGAGGAGAGCAGAGTGACCTGGGGAAGGGCACAGCTGAACAACCCTGCTTTCTACGTGTGTGCTTAACAAGATTTATGGGTAAGATGAAATGGGATGTAGCAGATAGATAGATAGATAGGTGCACACAAAACAGTTGCTGGATTGAATATTTTAGGTTTTCTCTACAGTGAGAGAATTGAGTCAGATGGGGGCCCGCATTTTGAAAGTTCCCTTGCAAATACTTGGGCCAAAGATCTTGGCATCGAGTGGACTTATCTCACATTCCCTTGCATGCACCAGCTGCTGGTAAAATCCAACAGTACAGCAGGTTGTTGAAAATGAAGTTGAAGGCAATGGGGGAGGGAACATTAAAGCAGTGGGAGAAGCATTTGGCAGAAGCCACCTGCTTGGCCAGTGCTCAAGATGTATGAGCCTAGACCGGTGCAGTGGAAATGCTGATACCACGAGGTATCTTACTGTGAAGACTGTATGGGAGCTGCTGAATCACAGCCTGAACCTCTGGTCGATCACCTGAGGCGAGCGCTGATCAGCCCTGGGAACACAGTGAAGGCAATGCGCTGTGCTGCTGGAAGGGATGGAGCCTGGCTGCGCCTCTCCTGGACCCCATTGAAGAGCTGACTGCCAGTGGGGAAGGGTCTCTTTTGGAGATCCCTCCTTTGGAGCTTTCCAGTGAGCCCAGGATAAGGGTAAGCCCTTTATCTATTCTTTTTGGTGTAATAACCTGCTTAGCCAAACTCTCTTGTATGTTTCTTACTTACAACACCTGGATCATCATTGATTATACAAAAGACTAAAGAGATTAAATGAGAACTTAAGTCACAGAAAAGCATTCCAACTCACTGCTCCATCACAACATTGTTTATTGGAAGAGTCACAGAACAACTTTTATTTATATATTTTGTAAATAATGTAATAAAATATATTTATTTCTATTTAACTAAGACATATGTAAATAATATAGTATATTTATTTCTATTTAATTGAGGCATATGTAAATAATATAATATAATGTATTAATTTATATTTAATTAAGGCATATAACTTCAGAATTAACTTAAATCCTTATCATACAAAAGGTCTGCTGGTGGTGGCTTCAGAAGGACCTTTCCTAGCGTGAACTTCTTGGCTCTGAACTGCTCCAGCTCTCCGGCCATTAGTTCCCTCCTCGGTGTGTGTAACTGCCCTGCTCTGATGCCGTGTGGATGCAGGAGGCGCAGACGCGGCGCTGTGTGCAGAGGCACCGGCAGTCGGTGTGGCCAAAGCACTGCTTGCACCTGGGTGAGAAGGTTCTGTAGCTGCCTTGGGAGCAGCGACGGCAAGCGGAGCGGTGCTGGAAGGATTTGCCGCAGCAGGGTTCGCAGGGCCCGGAAGCCCAGAAGTCCACGGCCAGCGGCCGTTCCAGGAGCGTTAAGTGAGGAGCGGGCTGCGGATGGAGCTGCAGCATCCCCAGTCCCAACAGGATGGGGACAGCTGTGGGAGGACGTCACCCCGAGGGCAGGAGGACTGGAGGCAGCAGCAGAGCTCCCCACAGCTGGAGCACTTCCAGATGAGACGCTGGGATTTGCAAGGACAAGCGGGCAGCACCACTGCTGCTGTTGGCTGGAGAGCCTGCAGTGAGGAAATGGATAGGAAGGCTGAGGATGGGTGCACCTGCCATACTGAAACACTGTTGCGTTTCAGTGCTGCAGAAGAACGCTTATCAGCGCCTGTTTAATTGCTGGTTCCTTATGCAGAAACTTACTTGGGAACCCAGTGCTTGGGGCTTACTGTCCTCCCAATCCAAGAGAAGGTAATGGTGGAGTGACCACTTTCTCTCTCCAAAGTAGCTGAAAAACTTCCAAATACATCCGTGAAAACTACATTCCAACACAGGCAAGTGTCTTTCAATCCACGCTTAAAGCAAAAACCCATGTGTGCCGACCAACCGAATGTAACTGAGAAACTGATCCAAACACTGGCCACGAGCAATGGCTACTTTAAACAAAACGCTCTCAGGCTACTGTCTGCAAACACCCTAGAAGCAGGAATCTGTTGACTGACAGGCAAAAAGTAATTGCAATCACCAAAACACCTGGAGCTCTCATTCTCCTCTCCCTTGTTCTAGTTTGCTTCATGACTCTATCTGTATCTGCTTTGGCTCAGTCTGCTCTCTGAGTGCAGAACAATCATCTGTGCTGAAGTCTGAACCCTGAGCTCTGCCTAAATGGGAATCCTAAGAAAACCTTCACTCGATATTTAACAGAAAAGCAATATCAGGAACAGAAGTACTTTATCTTTCCTTAACACTTACCATCGATGCTGTTCTCCAGGCATTTAAAGCCTTCAGCTCCTGCAGCCTGTTTCTCCGTTGTTGCACATACTGATGGACAGCGTTTATCTAAACGTGGGAAAACACAAACATGCTTTTGTTAAGCATGGCTTTTGTTTTTTTCTTATTTGGGTCCCTTTCCCCCCCTTTGCCTTCTTTAAAAGGGGGAACAAGAATGATCTGAGCTACTGCAAGGAAATTTCAGACTGGACAATTCAGGTCTTGCCCCACTTTATGAGCAGAAACTCCTGCTTTGGATAATACGTTTTGTACCTGCATCATTGGTGGGGCCTGTGCCGTGCAGTTATCAGAAAGGGGCAGGGAGAATCATAGACCTGTTTGAGTCAGAAGGGACCTTTAAAGCCATCTGACCCAACTCCCCTGCAGTGAACAGGGTCACCTATGGCCACATCAGGTTGCTCAGTTATGGCAAAGCCTTCAGGCCAGCAGCTCCTGCTGTTTTCTACTCCCTGCACAGAAAAGTGAACGTATGAGGGCATTGGTATTCACTGAGTCAAGAGCGGCCACCTGAAGAACAGGAACCACTGCTACCCTGAGTGTCCACAGAAAGCTCAGTTGTTCTGAATACTTACATAGT